CTTCGCTCGTTTCCAGACTGACAAATATGGAAAGAGTGTTGTCTTTGCTGTTGACAACTTTGGATGGGAAAGTTGAAGGTTCAGTAGATCGCCTGACACCATCCTTTGTTCTCGGCCAGGTGAAATTAGCGGATAGTAGCACGCAAATGGATTCCGTTTACCTAACACCCTATCCAGCAACCGATTTTGAGCTAGTTGGCGCTAAACAGTTGGAAGGAATACGCGATTCCACAGCTAGTGCCGAAATATTACAGACCTTGCCAGCAGAACGCAAGCGGAGCAAGAAAAGGAAAGCTGTAAACTCTCAAAAGGTGGTATTATCGGAGTTTACGGAGGATCAGGTAAGCACGTCACTTGCAGACCCTTCAGTATTGAGTTCTTCGACGTCTCCTCCCCAAGCCAATTCCTATGCAGCTAGTGCATCCGTGCAACCAGCCACCCGGTCGCAGGCTTCTGTGGCGTGTTGAGTAGGCATCCCCCGCCGCAATGACGCTTACACTGATAACAGTGTCATTTTTAGGGGTGTCACGGAGTCCACCGCCGCACTTCCAAAGGAGCGAATGCTTGATGACCTACAATGTTTTAAGCTTTGGGTTTCCAAACTTCTACCGCCCGGGTTTCCTGATGTAACTGTGCGGAAATTCATTAGGCTTGGGTCTGAGCCGCTTGATGCTTCGGACGTGAAACCCCGTTTACTGAGAGTCGTTCTTTCAACACCGGACGAGCGTAATACGCTTCTGCGTTTCGCTTTTAACCTGTAAGGTTCTGGGGTCAGTATTCAACCTGACATCCCATTAGCTAATAGGTTGAAACTGAAGGGCGCCATAAAGGACCTCAAAGCCCGTTGCGAAGCGGCTGAAACGGGTCTACGAAAGGTAGGTTTTCGGGTGGTGCGCCGGAGGCCCACTTCCACCCTTTAAGAGCCCGTTCCGGTGGCATCATCATCATACACGTTAGCTAGAGGTAAGGAACACCACTGCTACTTTGCTGCAATAAATAAAAATGAATAAAATTCAACTGGTGCAAGCCGGCTGAGCTACCGGTAACGGATGGGCATCGTTCCGGTAAGCTACCAGCCGGCTACTATGCATCTAAAAAGTTACTATGCGAAATTATGTAAGGCTAAATAATGAGATCGTGGTTGGAGGGGAAGGCTAAGAGGAATGAGGTGGGACAAAGAAAATCACAGCACGAACGCCACTGAGGTCGGCTTCCAGCCATATTAGCAAGTGTGTTCAACCAAACGTGTTCATCTTCTTTCGGACCCCAACCTGGGAGCCGTGACGCTCCAACCGAGGCCAGCTCAGAACTGAGGGCTTTCATTCCTCTCGACCAAGTCATGGCTTGACCACCCCTCCTCTTCTTTCATCCGCACCCCCGGCGCGCAAACAACGCACGTCGCGGGAGTCGGTGGGATGACATGCGTAACACGTGGCCGAGCCACCGGAGCCTGGTGCATGAAATGACGGTGCTGAGCGGTTCATTTCCTTTTCCTGTGCAATAAACTAGGCGTCGAACACGTTCGTCGCTCACGCGGTGTTCCCACGAGATGTGAGCTAAAGTACGAAGCATCGGTGGTCGAACGTAACTTGCCTCTTGAGGTCCGCTGCTTTAAGCGGCCAGGTTTCGCAGCCGCACAGTACGGTCGAAAGTACTGCTGCATTGTACATTCTACCGTTCAGGGCAAGGGTGATGTCGCGCCGCCGCCTTAAGTGGCGAAGGTTAGCAAAAGCGCCCGAGCTTTTGCTATACCAAATGCAGACCAAATGGTCTGTTCATACCACGTCGGGAATATCGCTGACTTCTCCACTCATCAATGA